CTCACTGACCCCTTAATCATATATATTACTAATTCGGAGTATAAGAAGCCGGAAACCATAGGCCTAACGACTCATTACAAAGCCAGTTTAAGTCCGTTTAGTGATACAATAAACTACATCTCAAAGGGATACAATAGCATGGGAGGAACGTACGTCGTAAGATCCAATTCAACATTTAGGAATCGAACGACATTTTTCGCAAACATTTATTGATGAGAAAATCAGTAGGAGCCTTGAGGTGCCTCATTTCATTATGAGGTAGGTTATCTTGAGGTTATCTTGAGATGATTTCGGGGCTTTAATGTCCCCGCGGCCCGGTCCTCGACCAGGCCTCCACCCCCAGGAAGCAGCCCGTGACAGCTGACTAACACCCAGGTACCTATTTTACTGCTAGGTAACAGGGGCATAGGGTGAAAGAAACTCTGCCCATTGTTTCTCGCTGGCGTCCGGGATCGAACCCGGGACCACAGGATCACAAGTCCAGCGTGCTGTCCGCTCGGCCGACCGGCTCCCTCAGGGTGGCGACCGACCGGTACAGGGTTATCTTGAGAGGTTATCTTGAGATGATTTCGGGGCTTTAGTGTCCCCGCGGCCCGGTCCTCGACCAGGCCTCCACCCCCAGGAAGCAGCCCGTGACAGCTGACAAACTCCCAGGTACCTATTTACTGCTAGGTAACAGGGGCATTCAGGGTGAAAGAAACTTTGCCCATTTGTTTCTGCCTCGTGCGGGAATCGAACCCGCGCCACAGAATTACGAGTCCTGCGCGCTATCCACCAGGCTACAAGGCCCCATTCCCAGGGTGATTCAAAACACCTTGATAAACAGGAGTTTGAAACCTATCGGTTTAATTACTTATGCTGCCTATTCCCGTATTGCATGGGGGGAGGGGGGAGGGAGGGTCTCCGAGGGGGGGGGGGCACTTGATGGGTTTAGGAACTGGACACTAATTCGATTTCGGTTAAGTTAGTGACGGTGAATGGATTACCTAGAGACAAATACATTAGCTTAGCTAAGCAAGTTCTCAAGGTCAGACAGCGGCAGGTTAACAGCTTCAGGAATCGGACCTGGGGCCAGATTCATGAAGCAGTTACGCAAGTACTTACGAACGTCTACATTTTTCCTCAATCATTGACGGCTTTGGTTACATTTATTAAACAGTTTACAAGCATGAAAACTTCCCAATCAACTGTTGTTATTGTTATAAACAGCCTCCTGGTGCTTCGGAGCTCATTAACTGTTTAATAATTGTAAACAAAGCCGCCAAAGATTGAGAAAAGATGTACAGGTTCGTAAGTGCTTGCGTAACTACTTCGTGAATCTGGCCCCAGGAGTCAAGCAATTACACAACCATTGCGAAACCTGTGCATCTTTCAACACTCATGGCGGCTTTGTTTACATTTATTAAACAGTTTACAAGATTTGAAAGATATGAATCCAAGCTTATTATTGTCATAAAGAAGCTACGTAGTGATTCCGAACCCTTAAATTGTTAAAAAAAAATGTACACGGGGTCGCCATGATTGTTAAGAGTGTACAAGGTTGGTAAGTGGCTGCATTATGACACGTGACCCTGACTCACAGTGGGTCGTGACCCTAGACCATAGTGGGTCGTGACCCTGACACACAGTGGGTCGTGACCCTGACACACAGTGGGTCGTGACGCTGACTCACAGTGGGTCGTGACCCTGACTCACAGTGGGTCGTGACGCTGACTCACAGTGGGTCGTGACCCTGACTCACAGTGGGTCGAGACGCTGACTCACAGTGGGTCGTGACCCTGACTCACAGTGGGTCGTGACCCTAGACCATAGTGGGTCGTGACCCTGGGCCATAGTGGGTCGTGACCCTGACACACAGTGGGTCGTGACGCTGACTCACAGTGGGTCGTGACCCTGACTCACAGTGGGTCGTGACGCTGACTCACAGTGGGTCGTGACCCTGACTCACAGTGGGTCGTGACCCTAGACCATAGTGGGTCGTGACCCTAGACCATAGTGGGTCGTGACCCTGGGCCATAGTGGGTCGTGACCCTGACACACAGTGGGTCGTGACCCTGACACACAGTGGGTCGTGACGCTGACTCACAGTGGGTCGTGACCCTGACACACAGTGGGTCGTGACCCTGACACACAGTGGGTCGTGACCCTGACACACAGTGGGTCGTGACCCTGACTCACAGTGGGTCGTGACGCTGACTCACAGTGGGTCGTGACCCTGACTCACAGTGGGTCGTGACCCTGACACACAGTGGGTCGTGACCCTGACTCACAGTGGGTCGTGACGCTGACTCACAGTGGGTCGTGACCCTGACTCACAGTGGGTCGTGACGCTGACTCACAGTGGGTCGTGACCCTGACTCACAGTGGGTCGTGACCCTGACTCACAGTGGGTCGTGACCCTGACTCACAGTGGGTCGTGACCCTGACTCACAGTGGGTCGTGACCCTGACTCACAGTGAGTCGTGACCCTCACACACAGTGGGTCGTGACCCTGACACACAGTGGGTCGTGACCCTGACACACAGTGGGTCGTGACCCTAGACCATAGTGGGTCGTGACCCTGGGCCATAGTGGGTCGTGACCCTGGGCCATAGTGGGTCGTGACCCTGGGCCATAGTGGGTCGTGACCCTGGGCCATAGTGGGTCGTGACCCTGGGCCATAGTGGGTCGTGACCCTGGACCATAGTGGGTCGTGACCCTAGACCATAGTGGGTCGTGACCCTAGACCATAGTGGGTCGTGACCCTAGACCATAGTGGGTCGTGACCCTAGACCATAGTGGGTCGTGACCCTGGGCCATAGTGGGTCGTGTTGACCATACAATACACAGTGGTGATGACCTAGGAACGAGGAGATGCTAATCAGTTTGAAATTCAGTTGGAAAAACTCCTCCGGGACAATGAATTAAGGGACTTTTGACAACTTTAGAAACGGGAAGTATAGTGTGAGTTATGACACCAGGCGGGCTGTCCGCCTTGCTGACACCAAGCGGGCTGTCCGCCTTGCTGACACCAAGCGGGCTGTCCGCCTTGCTGACACCAAGCGGGCTGTCTGCCTTGCTGACACCAGGCGGGCTGTCCGCCTTGCTGACACCAAGCGGGCTGTCTGCCTTGCTGACACCAAGCGGGCTGTCCGCCTTGCTGACACCAAGCGGGCTGTCCGCCTTGCTGACACCAAGCGGGCTGTCCGCCTTGCTGACACCAAGCGGGCTGTCCGCCTTGCTGACACCTGGCGAGCGGTCCGTCTTGCTGACACCAGGCGGGCTGTCCGCATTGCTGACACCAGGTGGGCTGTCCGCCTTGCTGACACCAGGCGGGCTGTCCGCCTTGCTGACACCAGGCGGGCTGTCCGCCTTGCTGACACCAGGTGGGCTGTCCGCCTTGCTGACACCAGGTGGGCTGTCCGCCTTGCTGACACCAGGCGGGCTGTCCGCCTTGCTGACACCAGGCGGGCTGTCCGCCTTGCTGACACCAGGTGGGCTGTCCGCCTTGCTGACACCAGGCGGGCTGTCCGCCTTGCTGACACCAGGCGGGCTGTCCGCCTTGCTGACACCAGGTGGGCTGTCCGCCTTGCTGACACCAGGCGGGCTGTCCGCCTTGCTGACACCAGGCGGGCTGTCCGCCTTGCTGACACCATGTGGGCTGTCCGCCTTGCTGACACCAGGTGGGCTGTCCGCCTTGCTGACACCAGGCGGGCTGTCCGCCTTGCTGACACCAGGCGGGCTGTCCGCCTTGCTGACACGATGTGTGGGTGTCGGCAGCTAAGCTAAGCTTGCTCTCTCTTGTCAGGGAGCTGTGAGTGTGTGAGAGGTTCTTCACGTGTATTTCAGCATATATATGGATGTCTATTGATGAATACTGTGTGACATTCCCATATAAACACTCCGGTGCTTCCACACAATGTTTGGATATTTTGTTTAAGGGTCTTTATTATTTTTTTTAATAAGAAGGGGAGAGATTTCTGGTCAGTATTTCACCTAGGAATTGTGTATTGTGGGGCTGGGTTTCCATCGAGTAAATCGAGGCTCTTGGGCCACCAGCTGTGGGAGTGGGGCGTCTCATCTTGGACCACCAGCTGTGGGAGTGGGGCGTCTCATCTTGGGCCAACAGCTGTGGGAGTAGGACGTCTCATCTTGGGCCACCAGCTGTGGGAGTAGGACGTCTCATCTTGGGCCACCAGCTGTGGGAGTAGGACGTCTCATCTTGGGCCACCAGCTGTGGGAGTAGGACGTCTCATCTTGGGCCACCAGCTGTGGGAGTAGGACGTCTCATCTTGGGCCACCAGCTGTGGGAGTGGGGTACGTGTCTCATCTTTGATTAATCTTTCTAAAATTGGGTCCTCTAACATTAGGATGGTGTTCCACACCCTGGTGGCTTGGTGCTGTAGTCTGATGTTTAATAGTTGTATGTTCAGGAGTTCCTGGAGCTCCTGGATTGTCTGATCATATGGTGGATGGTGTTTTGCTGCTCTCCTTAGCTCCTTATTTTGTACTGCCGGTGGCTTTGCCATGTTAATTTTTTTTAAAGTTATGTAGTGATGCTGAGGAGGAACAGGAAAGGAGGGGAGGAGCGCCCTAGCTCCCTACGCCTTCTTTCTCTCACCTCCCTCCCTCCTTTCTCTCACCTCCCTCCCTCCTTTCTCTCACCTCCCTCCCTCCTTTCTCTCACCTCCCTCCCTCCTTTCTCTCACCTCCCTCCCTCCTTTCTCTCACCTCCCTCCCTCCTTTCTCTCACCTCCCTCCCTCCTTTCTCTCACCTCCCTCCCTCCTTTCTCCCACCTCCCTCCCTCCTTTCTCTCCTCCCTCTCCAATATCTCTGGCCCCCACGTACTAGTTCCTTGGCGCCGCGTCCATCCACACCGTCTCCTGCCCAACACTGGCAGCGAGGAGTTCCTTCACCATGGGTAAAACATTTCGATGGTGTTCCACACCCTGATGGTTTGGTGCTGTAGTCTGATGTTTAGTGGCAGTAGTGGCTTGTGCTGGCCCCCTCGGCCACACCCATGGCAGGCCTTAGCCACGCCCATGGCAACCCATGGCCACGCCCATGGCAGGCCTTAGCCACACCCATGGCAACCCTTGGCAGCCCTCGGCCACACCCATGGCAACCCTCGGCCACACCCATGGCAGCCCTCGGCCACACCCATGGCAGCCCTCGGCCACACCCATGGCAGCCCTCGGCCACACCCATGGCAACCCTCGGCCACATTCATGGCAGCCCTCGGCCACACCCATGGCAGCCCTCGGCCACACCCATGGCAACCCTCGGCCACATTCATGGCAGCCCTCGGCCACACCCATGGCAGCCCTCGGCCACACCCATGGCAGCCCTCGGCCACACCCATGGCAGCCCTCGGCCACACCGCCAGCCCTCGGCCACACCCATGGCAGCCTTCGGCCACACCCATGGCAGCCCTCGGCCACACCCATGGCAGCCCTCGGCCACACCGCCAGCCCTCGGCCACACCGCCAGCCTTCGGCCACACCGCCAGCCTTCGGCCACACTCATGGCAGCCCTCGGCCACACCCATGGCAGCCCTCGGCCACACCGGCAGCCCTCGGCCACACCCATGGCAACCCTCGGCCACACCCATGGCAACCCTCGGCCACACCCATGGCAACCCTCGGTCACACCCATGGCAACCCTCGGCCACACCCCTGACAGCCCTCGGCCACACCCATGGCAGCCCTCGGCCACACCGCCCGCCCTCGGCCACACCCATGCCAGCCCTCGGCCACACTGCCAGCCCTCGGCCACACTGCCAGCCCTCGGCCACACTGCCAGCCCTCGGCCACACCCCTGACAGCCCTCGGCCACACCGCCCACCCTCGGCCACACCCATGCCAGCCCTCGGCCACACCGTCAGCCCTCGGCCACACCCCTGACAGCCCCAAGTCACACCCTCCGGAGCCACATGAGCCACAACACACAATAGTTGCACAATAAAAGAGACACTAACACGACGTAACTGTTGTAGCAGCAGCCCAACATTACCAGTATCATTTACAGTAATATCAACAAAAGCGTTACCAGCGTAGGGCTTGAGCAAGCCCGCGAGCTGTTACGGGCTCACCATAGCCCGTGCTACTTGCAACTTTGTTCCAGGTAGCGAATCTTTAACAACAACAACCGCTAGCTGATGCCTGTAAGGACGTTGCCGCCTCCCTGGGAGGAAGAATCATGTAGGATTCACATATACAAGATGCCAACGAAGAAGTCCAGGATTCTACCTCATGAAATGAGACATGTCTATATATCGAGGAAATTGGTAAAGCAGCAGTAAAGAAGCAATCAAACCTAGAGTGATGGGTCTGCTAACCCTACTAGCGCCGGGGCTGGAGCAGCGTTCACTGTACAACCCGTCCTCTTAAAAATAACGTCACTTTTGGCTGGTATGCGCGCTATGGTCAAATTTGGACGTAATTTGAAATGAAATCGACTCACAAAAGTGACGTACTGTTCCGTTTTCTGTTTGAGTCGTCCGGCCGACTCTGTAAGGTTAGAATAGATGACTTTCAATTAACGTTTTTCATAACGTTTTGAAACTTTATGAGAATTTCCTGCCCACCTAACCTATCAGAGGACCCTTAACTTACTGTTGTTGAAAAAAAATCCCAAATTTATTTTCATGTTTTTTTTTTCATTTTCAAATTACGTCCAAATTCGGCCATACGGACAAACGGCCAAAAGCGACGTTCTTTTTAAGAGGACAGGTTGCACTGTAATCAAGAAATGATGCTTTCAAAACGAGACAAAAAATAAAAAGCAGAGGTTAAGAACTATGTCTGCTCAACGCAAGCAGAGTTCACTGTCATTAAGCTATCGAGAACAAAGCACAAAGGGAGCAGTGACCTGCACTGACACCAGGGCGGCACTGCACAGTCTCTAAGAAAAGGTGAGGCAGAAAACAAAGGGATAATAGATGATATCAAGAGAACGGTGAAAGTGATATCGAGCCAGGGGAAGGATGGTGACGTTCCTGTGGAGCCAGGGAAGGATGGTGACGTTCCTGTGGAGCCAGGGAAGGATGGTGACGTTCCTGTGGAGCCAGGGAAGGATGGTGACGTTCCTGTGGAGCCAGGGAAGGATGGTGACGTTCCTGTGGAGCCAGGGAAGGATGGTGACGTTCCTGTGGAGCCAAGGTAGGATGGTGACGTTCCTGTGGAGCCAAGGAAGGATGGTGACGTTCCTGTGGAGCCAGGGAAGGATGGTGACGTTCCTGTGGAGCCAGGGTAGGATGGTGACGTTCCTGTGGAGCCAGGGAAGGATGGTGACGTTCCTGTGGAGCCAGGGAAGGATGGTGACGTTCCTGTGGAGCCAGGGTAGGATGGTGACGTTCCTGTGGAGCCAAGGCAGGATGGTGACGTTCCTGTGGAGCCAGGGTAGGATGGTGACGTTCCTATGGAGCCAGGGTAGGATGGTGACGTTCCTGTGGAGCCAAGGAAGGATGGTGACGTTCCTGTGGAGCCAGGGTAGGATGGTGACGTTCCTGTGGAGCCAAGGAAGGATGGTGACGTTCCTGTGGAGCCAGGGTAGGATGGTGACGTTCCTATGGAGCCAGGGTAGGATGGTGACGTTCTTGTGGAGCCAGGGTAGGATGGTGACGTTCTTGTGGAGCTAGGGTAGGATGGTGACGTTCCTGTGGAGCCAGGGTAGGATGGTGACGTTCCTGTGGAGCCAGGGAAGGATGGTGACGTTCCTGTGGAGCCAGGGTAGGATGGTGACGTTCCTGTGGAGCCAAGGAAGGATGGTGACGTTCCTGTGGAGCCAGGGTAGGATGGTGACGTTCCTATGGAGCCAGGGTAGGATGGTGACGTTCTTGTGGAGCCAGGGTAGGATGGTGACGTTCCTATGGAGCCAGGGTAGGATGGTGACGTTCTTGTGGAGCCAGGGTAGGATGGTGACGTTCGTGTGGAGCCAGGGTAGGATGGTGACGTTCCTGTGGAGCCAGGGTAGGATGGTGACGTTCCTGTGGAGCCAGGGTAGGATGGTGACGTTCCTGTGGAGCCAGGGAAGGATGGTGACGTTCCTGTGGAGCCAGGGTAGGATGGTGACGTTCCTGTAGAGCCAGGGTAGGATGGTGACGTTCTTGTGGAGCCAGGGTAGGATGGTGACGTTCTTGTGGAGCCAGGGTAGGATGGTGACGTTCCTGTGGAGCCAAGGTAGGATGGTGACGTTCCTGTGGAGTCAGGGTAGGATGGTGACGTTCCTGTGGAGCCAAGGTAGGATGGTGACGTTCCTGTGGAGTCAGGGTAGGATGGTGACGTTCCTGTGGAGCCAGGGTAGGATGGTGACGTTCCTGTGGAGCCAGGGAAGGATGGTGACGTTCCTGTGGAGCCAGGGACGGATGGTGACGTTCCTGTGGAGCCAGGGAAGGATGGTGACGTTCCTGTGGAGCCAGGGTAGGATGGTGACGTTCCTGTGGAGCCAGGGTAGGATGGTGACGTTCCTGTGGAGCCAGGGTAGGATGGTGACGTTCCTGTGGAGCCAGGGTAGGATGGTGACGTTCCTGTGGAGCCAAGGTAGGATGGTGACGTTCCTGTGGAGCCAGGGTAGGATGGTGACGTTCCTGTGGAGCCAGGGTAGGATGGTGACGTTCCTGTGGAGCCAGGGAAGGATGGTGACGTTCCTGTGGACCCAGGGAAGGATGGTGACGTTCCTGTGGAGCCAGGGTAGGATGGTGACGTTCCTATCGGTTCTCTCTGGTGAACCCGCTGATGTGCTGGATTCTGAGACTGCTGAAGGAGACCACATCAACTACTTCATTCCCAGACCCCTGTTACAACTCAGGATCATCATCAATCATCATCATGACGGTGACAAGGTAGCCGAGGAGCGGAGGACCGAAGAGCAAGTCAGAGAACTATATACGCTGGTACAATGCAGTCCGCAGCCGGCAACCTCGTTCATTATGAACGAAAATGAGGTGACCTAAGGAGGGAACCAGTAATGGTAAGAATTCGTCTCGAGTAGCGAAGTTGCACAATCTGTAGCATGTGTGAAGGGCTTCGTCCGGACCACTCATTACTGAGGGAGTACCCACCAAACACACACACCGAAACTACGACGTTGGTACAACGTTCGAACAAATTTTAACACCTCCTAACCAGTTATAACAACCAATATAGCAAGTTGTAACAACGTTCTAATACGTCATAAACACGTTAAGCCAAGATGTAACAACTTTATTACAAGTTGTAACAAGCGGAAAATAAAGACAGTTACGGTTTGTGTTTCCAGGGTATAGGCCCATCTGCCCGTTTGTGCCCGAAACGCTTTGCGTAATAGTGGCTTTAGGCATTGTATGTACTAGCTCTATCTATAAATCCATCAACGTTTTGTATCTCACCTTGCATGTATGTACTTTACCTGAGTAAATATTCGTATCTGAGGGGACACCAAAAAAATGTGCGCAGTATAATAAACCCACCACTGAGGAAACCACTTTTTGTCATTATATATATATATATATATATATATATATATATATATATATATATATATATATATATATATATATATATATATATACTGTTCTTACAAGCTTTCCCGCTTTGCATGCATCTGCACGGTAATGTGAACTTGAGGGCTGTAAGATATTAATCCCTTGTGAATTTCACAAGGGATTACAGTGAGGTCCGGCTGTGTCTGGGTACAAGTGACAGGATGAACAACGCAGTGGGTTATCTTCCTATTGTGGGGGGGGGGGGTGTTGTGTTGTGTTGTAGTCCTTCAAGTAGTGGTAGCAGAAGCAGTAGTCGTACAATGATAGTCGTTGTAGATGATGAGGATAGAAGTAGCAGTATTAGTCATAACTGAAGTCGGTAGTAGTGTCAGAGTTAACATAACATCAGTATTATAAATGTAGATTTAACAAAAATATTAACAAAAAGTATCAGTAAAAGGATAATTGGAGCATTATAACATGAGACTGAGGGTTATCTTGAGGTTATCTTGAGATGATTTCGAGGCTTTTTAGTGTCCCCGCGGCCCGGTCCTCGACCAGGCCTCCACCCCCAGGAAGCAGCCCGCGACAGCTGACTAACACCCTGGTACCTATTTTACTGCTAGGTAACAGGGGCAAAGGGTGAAAGAAACTCTGCCCATTGTTTCTCGCCGGCGCCTGGGATCGAACCCAGGACCACAGGATCATAAGTCCCGCGTGCTGTCCGCTCGGCCGACCGACTCCACGCAGTCCTATTGGTCCTTTCAAGAGACCTCATATTTACAGCCACCCAAACTCTTTCACATATATGTCTAACCTGCGCTTGAAACAATCCGGCGATCTATTGTGTTGCTCGGTAATTTGTGCCATAAATCAACAACCCTGTTTCCAAACCAGTATTTATTCGCAGGTCTTTCATGAATTTAAACTTAAGACTAATTTATATCTATTGTTTCGAGTTCTGTTTGGTGTTGATATGTGGAAAATTATGTGTTTATATTCTCTTTGTGGCGCAATTTTTATCCCTATATATACTTCAGTCATGTCACTCTTACTCTTCGTCTTAAGAATGTAAATTAAGATTATTTTTAATCTCTTTATAATGGAGGTCCCTAATTCCTAAGATTAAAATTGCCATCCTATCAGTAGGCGTTCACGTGAACGTACTGAAGAACGGACCTTCAGAGTCCTAAAGTGAACTGCATAATCTTAACGAGGCTTAATAAGGCAAGATAAAGCTGAATAATATTGCTTTATTGCTAACACCAAGAAAAATATATCGGTGTCATTATTAGCCTTAATCCTTATATTTATGTATATGTTTCATTGTTGGCTTAAGACGCCCTACTAATCTTAAC